ACAACCCCCCCCCCCCCCCCCTTTTTTTTTCTCTTTGGCTAATTTTTGTCAATATTTTTAAACCTAAAATTTTCTAATATATTTTGGGTTATAAATTGCTAATTTTATTTAGGAAAAATTATCTAAATACATAACTTATTTTGACATTTTTTTTAAAATTTTCCTACCATTTGAAAAAAGTTTATAAAAACCCCTATCTTTCATATCTCTCTCTTATTCTCGGATACATCACTCTTACGCGGTGTATTGAGACACGGTGTAACGAGACGCGATGTATCGAGACAGGTGTGTCTTGTATCAACAAAGATAATGTATCGGGACGTTGAGCGGTGTATTTGGACAAGTGTATCTTGTATCAATAACGGTAATGTATCATGATGGAATGTATTGGGACGTTGAGTGTTGTATCCGAAATTCTTAAATTTTAAGGAATTTTTATAATTTGAAAAAGAGTAGGAATAAGGTGTAATTAGCTAACACTATGGAATTTATGTAATTTTTACTTTTATTTAGCTCTTGTACCTACATGTCATTTCCTCATTTATTTTAGTTTTTTGTCTAGATTATAAGGATATGTCAGAGGCCTTATCCCAATTTAAAAAAATACTTTTATTCATATTATGTTAGAGACTTTATAGATAGATGAGCCTAGATGTTCAATAGACAAATGATGTTGGTTTTTTCCTAATTATTATTTCTTATGATGTAATGTTTTGAATTCAAGGAAGTACTTTATGGATGAGAAAGATTCTTTTTAAAAGACTTCATTTATGAATCTATTTCATATTATTACACTATTTTTTTAGGTTTGGGCATTACAACTTCTCTTTACTTGCGAACTTATTTAGAAAACCTTCTTAGAAAAAGAACCTATTTTGAATAATAAAATCACACTAAATTCTTTTTGTAGCAGTGTTGGATGCTAATGTAATTTTTTATTTGGTTTGCTCCCTATGAATTAAAAGGATGTATCAAAATATCTTCTATGTAAATTTTGATGAGTTGTTGGGTTGAAAAATTAATAATTCTTATGTTCTTATGGGGAGTCTACTCAGAGTTGTTGCTTTTTTATGATGCCAAAGGGAGGAATATTTTAACTATACCTAAGGGGGGAAGATGCACATCAAAGTGAATATGAAAATTGATGAAGTTACAAATTGCACATGAAAAAGTATGAAGTTGTTATATATGGGTTTTTCCCCATTTCAAGATTTCAGATCATGTGCAACACATAATAGTCTCGAACATGAAAACCAACCTTAAAATGCTAACATTACTTTGCACATAAAATAACTTTATATAGAAAAAAGGTTGTTTATGAATGAGTTCAACTAGACAAGAAGAAATATATTACAAATTTGGCATTCCAATTCCCTTTGGTAATGTGGCATGGTATTGGAGCCCTTAAGGTTTCCTTTGCATTTAGCCATGGATTGAAGGAGACCTATAGAGCTTCAGCTCGCATGTCCATAAATGAGTCGAGTTGAAGACACCAGCAAAATCAACATAAGACAGCTTGCTGCACGAAGAGCTCACAAAATCAATGTAGTTAATCGTGCACGAGAAGGGCAAAAGAGAAGCAAGCAAGGAAAATTCTTTTGCATATATTAGAAACTGGAAAAGAAACTTTATGTTTAATTGAATTTCATGAAGCCAAATCGATTTTAATGTTTTTTCTTACCACCTTTCCCAAGCTAACATAGAATCCTCTTCATTTCTCTTTTTCGTTTTTAAATCTATGTAATACGATCTATATACACTTTTATACTTTACATATACATCACTATACACTATTACACATGACATATACGTCCTTATACACTACTATACATTACGTATACACTGTAGGTATAATGTACAAGTAATGTATATGCTTTGTACAATAATGGATAAACACATTTAACCAACAGATGACAGGCAAACCTTGCGTTTAGAGGCATCCCATTTAGGTTTATCCCTCCATTGAGTAGTTTTTTCAGATTTCAATTTTTCACAGTTGCATTATTGATTTATTGATGTTTGACTAAGGTCGAGAGACGAATTGACACACAAATTAAAGATTTCTATGTGATCTCATCTATTGTAGATAGTCAAGTTTATGGGACGGGGCGTTAGCTAGATTTTGTTCACCAATACAAAAGGAATGTAAATTCAGTTAGACTTATATCCATTTAAAGAGAAAAGTTATCTGGTTTATTCAAAGATTGAAAGATGAAGATAGATTTTAATCAAATTCAGAGCTGATAACTATTAGCATCTATCCAACTTAGAGGAACACATAAATACACATTTTTACCTGGCATAGCAACACACGAAAAGAGATTTGATACATTGTTCATGTTTTCATACACCGATAAGTAACAAAATTATATCAACTAGAGGCAACATGAATGAGAACGAGTTGATTCTAATATACTCTGGATAGTCAAACTCCCCAAATAATTAAGCTGCCTACAACCTCCTTTATTCTATCAGGGTACATACTAGGTGGTGCATGGGAGGGGAAATTTAATGTTTGCATATTTAGAGAGGATACAAGTGTTTACGTTAACGCATGCACTATCCCCTTCAAAGTATAAATACCACCAATTTGGATATGATGTTGCAGAAGATAGGTAGACTAATAAGACAAGGTTAGAGAGGAGTTTCAAAGTGAAATAAAATACTAAGACAGGTGAAACTTACAGGAAAGTTGAGAGAGTCATATCGTCACAAGTTCCGGCTCTACACTATGATGGATGTTAGTTGTCGAATTCCAAAACCTTTGTTGAGGCAGTCAAAAGTGCTTTCCTGCGCATCCATTTTCTCTACCAGTGGCAAATCAATAGTAGATCTAAATGCTATTTCAAGATCTTCCTGATTTATTTGACAATCAAGAAACGTTTTATCCGCTGAACAATTTTCATATCCAGGCTTGCAATTTTGAATTTCATGTTCGCAAGCAGGATCTGTATAGCTCTCAAGAGATACAGAGGGATCCTCTAAAAACCTGAAATTCCCAAATCAATGACATTAGAGGGTAATAATTATCTCTATAGATAAAGATAAAGATGGTGGTGGTGGTGGTGATTGAGTGGGGCGCATGGATGGGAAACAAGAAAATAACATATTGTTGGACATTATATTTGTTTAAATGTACTGATAAGGAAATAAAAGGCATCAAAGCTACACCAGTATCAGTGCCAGAAATTATCAATGTATCTTGTTATAGTTATCTGATACGAAAAGTTAACGATGACTATGAGGATTGGAAGCTTGAAGCATAATATAAAGGTAAATCCTTACCCTTGTACAAACGAATTTAGGTCCTCATATCCATTAATACTATCACTATCACCACCGTGGACTGATGAAGATCGATTCCTCTCTTGCCCAGCATCAAAACTTACTGGTGAATTCATCCCATACTGGATCGATGATGAAGAATGAAATTCTTGCTCATCATCAAATTTTAAAGATGCATCAAATACGTTTAGGTTGTTGTATCCTTCCATATTTTCACTAGCACTGCCATGGACTGATAACCCTACATTAAGCTGAGCTGAAAGTGAATTTGTCCCATGCTTGATCGAAGAATAAGTTGAAAATTCTTCTCCAGCATCAGAACTTAATGAATCCATCCCATACTGAAATGAAAAGAGTGTTCGTTAACTTGTAGTATAGACAGTATTAAATTTAATAATTAGTTTCTATCACAATAGCATTCATGAGAGTACCAAAAGATAACAATGGATATTTAATTGGAAATCTAAGAGCCACTTGTTAACTTTGTCACCTGTTACCAACATCCCCGTTCCACTTGTTAAATTTGTCACCTGTTACCAACATCCCCGTTCCACTTATACCCTCATATTACTCTAAAAAAGGAAAGGATACAATCATATAAGACGCACCTTTATGATTTTGTTTCAAATCTAAGAGGACCAAACTAAATACTTATCCAATGATGATGTTATCATTTAGAGCTCTTTTTCTCTCCATCAACAACATGGAGTAATTCCTTGTTTGGAGGTCATCATCAAAATTATTAGTGCGTTAATTCAACAAACTGGGCTGTTTGAAGAAACATGATCCAAGTATACTTTATGTTTTTATTTTATTAAAGAGAGTTTGACAGTAAGTCATCATAACTTGCATGATGTTAATTTTGTGAAGATTCTTCTGAAATCTGCAGTTCCCTAGATCACAAAGAGAGATTAAACTACCATACTATAACTCAATGCCTTCTTCTAAGAAAAAATAGTAAAAAAAAAACTTCGTTACTTTTTCTTGGTAAGCAAACCATATACTTCTGGATGAGGTACAACTCAAGAGTAAACAAAACATAAGGTAGGGGATAGAGAATCTGAGTCAGCTTACTGTTGATCAATTTATGCTACATTTTCATTGTTTTGTTAGTACGGTCACCTAACTAAATTATTAAATGAAATCTGATAAAATGGTAAATTAATGAAAAAAAATATTTTCTTTAAGAGAAAGAAGTGTATGATGTTAAACATTTCTTCAGCTGCAAGTTTAACATTGAATATCACGAAGTTACTCGAAGGATTTGAGAAAAACTGCCAAATAAGGCTTTCTTCTGAAGATGTAGCTGGTGGACAATTTGGGAACATCCTAACAACTAAGATATATGTAGGTCAATAATAAGCTAACAGCTTTGCTGCAACTCATAGGCTTTCCACATACACTAGATTAAGCATCTTCATCTCTGATGTCACACGGGTAACTGACTTCTGGAATATCATTCGGCTTCTTAGCCATTAAATGTCGTAGAAATGATCTCCACGTGTTGATAAGATAAAATCACAAGATTTTCTAAATATAAGATGCAGAAATGATCGGCGTGGCAGTTGGACAATGGATTTAGCCTAGAAAGAAGAAGCTTTCACTCAAATGTTTAGTCGGTCTAGAGAAAAGTTTCCGTAGGAGATATAATGATCAGTTCGATGTGACATAAATCTGAATTGTAAGGATTGATATAAATATTGTTTGACGGTTCTATAATAATCTTCAAACTAACATAATTACATCCAAAAAATTAGACATGATGTTGATGACAAACTGTGAGCATTCAAATGGTTCTCATATAGCTTCAATTTAAAAACTAGTTTCACATAGATGGATCTTTCTGCCAATGATAGAGAACAATCGACTTTCTTTAAATGGAGAGTAATGAAACGTGAAAGGAGTGGTAATAATATTAGGGAGATGCAGATTGCAGTATCTGTCTAAGCCAAAAGAATGAAAATGAAAACTTACAAGAAGGTTTAGAGATTCAGCTAACATCATATTGTCACAAGCTCCAGATGCTGACGTTGAACTATCATGGATGTTAACAAAATCAGAATGAGGAAGTATGGAACCATTGTTGGTGCTACAGCCCAAAATATTTCCGTGGGCATCCATTAGTTCAACTTGTGGCACATCAAAAGTAAATCCAAACTCTCTTTCAATATCTTCCTGATTTAATTCACAATCCAGAAACATTTCATCAGGTACAAAAAATTTGGATTCCGGCTTAGATATTTCAATTTCTTTGTTGCAAACAAGATTTGTGTAGCTCTCAAAAGAAAAAGACGGTTCCTCCAAATACCTACAGACCCCAAAAATCAATAACATGTCAGAAGCCAATAATTTCTTTTGTAGATAAAACAAAGAAAATGATGATACAATTTGAAATAGCAATAAATATCAATGCCAACTAGAAATTATAGACATATTAAAATCTATTACTATTACGTAACAAGGAATAGGATAATTGGAAGTTTGAAGCTTGAAATAAAGTTAACTCCTCACCCTAGTGGGAATGAATTTAAGTCCTCGTACACATCCATATTTTCATTATTACCACCGTGGACTGATGAGCATCTATAGAGCTCTTGCCAGGCATTAATCCCATGCTGCATCAATGAAGAAGCCTGGAAGTCTTGCCCAGTATCAGAAGGTAAAGATGAACCAAATGAAGTCAGGTCTTCGTACACGTCCGTATTTTCACTATCACAACCATGGATTAATGAACATGGATGGGGCTCTTTCCTAGCATCAAAGTTTGAAGGTAAATCCATACCATGTTGGACTGAAGAAGGATGAATATCTTCCCCAGCACTAAAAATTAATGATCTAATCCCATACTGCAATGCAAAGAGTGGGCATTACAACCTTGTAATTTACAAAAGAAAATGCAGAGCATAACTCTTTACTTATCGTTGCACATTATATTTAGCCACTAATTGAAGTTATTATGATTTTCTATCAAAAATTTTAAAAGAAAACGACAATCAAAAGACAAATAATGGATATGTTGGAAACATTACAGCCAAGCACAGTACTTTATTAGCCTGTTTTCAATTGTTTATTTGTAGTTATATCATTTCCATTAGGAAATTAGCTTACAGTCTACTGCCGGAGCATCGATATGACTCCCACACTCCTATTATTCTCATTGAAATATCACTATAAAAAATGCCAGGGTATCCATACCAAACCGGAGAATTTTATTAATTTTGTTTAATAAACAAAGTGAGTTTAACTAAAAAGGTTAAGACAAATATATATCCAACAGTAGAGTAACCTTTCAGGCCCTAGAGCTCCTCTCCAATTAAATCCATAAAAACAAGTAAATTTGATCAGTCATAACTAATATGATGAATGGCTACACACAAGTGTGTAAATCAAAACAGAGCTGTGGACTGTTGGGTGACGCAAGATTTAAGTATACCTTATGCTTTGCGATATCGTTAAGAGATTTAGAAATTGAGTCTTCCAATTTCCTAAGTTGTTGAATGTTGTCAATCTTGTCAAGATTCTTCCAAAGCCTGCATATTCCAAATCACAACAGAAAAAGAAATGTCATAATCTGGTTCTAGCACTATCTCTGAAGAGACAATGGCAAGTAAACGATGCATATTAACCTAGAAATGGAAGAAAGAATAGAATTATCATAAAGTAATTAATAAAAATGATCTAATAACTAGAGAAATTCCCGAAAGAGAATACATTTTTTTCTGGAAGAGAAAGAAGAGACTGTATATGTTGAAATATGTGACCATCTCATTTGAAGTTTAAACGGTTAGATGAAGTACTTTTTTTTGCTTTTGTAGATAATTATGCTTTTGGCAAGGGAAGATATCCTATAACAAGTATGATCAATAAAAAAATCAAAGAAGTTACCTGAGTCTACCCTCGATGTCTGAAAGTCGAATTCTTAATGAATGTGACAGAAAATTTATATCCTATACCAATCACAAGAAATTGAGTGTTACATAACTAGCATTGCCACCAGTGCTTACAAATTAGGTAGTCATAGTGATATGCTTCTGATAAATAAAATTAGTACCTCCGTTGTCAAATCCCTGAAAAAGAATAAGCAGAAAATTTCAGTATTGAAGTAAAAATGTAAACCTGACAAGTCTTGCTTGATAAAATGAAAGGTAAACCGAACTACTTCGCAGTAAAATGGTACATACCCAGGACAGAGCTGTTCTCCGATATTTACATCGTGATCAGACTTCTTGCAAGCTTTCTTTATTGTCTAAATGTTCAAATCGAGAGAAGGTCATCACCAAAAAAGCACCTTAAATTTTGAATGCACAAATAAGTGGAAACAGGCCATTCCTATAAAAAAGGAAGGTTGGACTTACTTCAAGACACTCCATCTTCCTGTTAATAAGGTAAAAGAACAGTTCTAAGATTAACTCTTCACACATTTAATCATTTCATCAGTACAACTATTCACGTGTGTGTTATGGTACCTTTTTGCCCTTTCTTCTGGATTTACTTCGACAATCTTGGTAATCATGTCCTCAAAGCTACTGGAGGGAGAATAATACAATGGATTTAAAATTTGTCAGTAGAAAGGCTTTCGAAAAAACTGGTCTTTAAATTTTGCTAGATTTAAACTAACATAGACACATAATTATTAATATTGGCTATTTTATTCAGGTGGATCCATAAAGTACTTCACATCTCATAAATTGTTGACTTGGAAGAAGTATCTTGACATTAAAAAGTAGCAATCATATTTCTTGAAACAAAGTCAATCACACGTTATTTTTCTCTCCTAAGACCTAAACCATAAAGGGATGGAAATGTTAAGGTTTAATAGTGAGTTATCATGGTGGGAGAAGAAGTACCTGCTCTCTGACTTGTATACACTAGGTTTTCCGCTTGGTGAAAACATGGCAAGAAAGATGTCAATGTCGCACAATACTGAAAGCTCATTAGCTTTCTTCAAGAGACCTTTCTTTCGCCTTGAGTATACTCCTATACGGTTGCTACCATCCAATTTATGCAGTTTCAATTTTGCCCTCCCCATCTGCATTTCCATAAGCACAGATTCAAATCTTTGATGCAGATAACATCAAATGACTTAAGAACATACACTCTATTGAATTGTGATTGATCAATGCCCAATTCATACCCTTATTTAACAATCTTACTAGTGGATATAATTCGAGAAAAAAACAAAATTATTTCAGTGTACCAAAACTATCATACATGTGTAATCCAGGAAGTCAAGAAAAAATCATGCCACCAAAAAATGTACTTCCGGGATTCTCTCCATTTTTCTGGTCAGATGCTATCACAATAACAACAGTTGTAGTACTGAATTTCAGGTTTACCTTACCTTTGCTTCAAAGTCTCGGCGCCTACTTTCCTACAGAGTCCAAATTCTGTGAAATTTTAAGAACAATGTCTCTCTTTCACGACACCAGCAGTATGAGGAGACCTGCGATAAAAGCAGGTGAAGAAAAAGACAACCAGACTTAGATTTGTAAAAATTCTCACAAGAAAGACGTTCCCAGCAGCGAAACATTACCTTGTTTGTGCACAATAAATCTTTTATTTGGATATAATTAATTAGCGGAGCGGAAATACGACTCCCTTCTAAACTATCTAGATGAACTTGTATAGAGTGTTATTTGAGAATATCTGCACATAAACAACAAAAAACCTAGCAAATTCACCATTTTCAAGGTCAAAATATATAATGGGCGCGCGTGTAAAATCACTTGTACAAGAAACTAAATAATCATCACAGAGAAAATTCACACATGGTTGATAGTTTGTTCTTCACTATGCCCCTGAAATTTCTGTAGGGAAGAGAAAGAATGACCTGACAATACAATGATCATCCTTAAATCACGAAAAGGAATAAGAAGAAAGTAGTTGCATTTAGTTCAGAGTTGAACCGAGGGTCTTTCGAAAACAGTATCTCTTCCTCTCTGGTAAGGCCTGCTTACACTCTACCCTCCCCAGACCCCACTTTGTGATATTTCACTGGGTATGTTGTTGTTATTGTTCAAGCATAACACATGTGTGATCCCGTAACTTTCGAAATAAACCAACCACCCTCAGATAACATATTTTCACAACTCTCTTTGCTTTCTTGTTTGGAAATGTCATTGCTTACCAGAATTTCATATAATTGAACAAAAATAATGATGCTGTCAGTAAGCAATAACGCCAAAAAGTATGGTGATACCTAAAAACAAAAAAAAATGAATAAAACTTGTAAAATAATGCAAATAACATTTTCCACAACAGAAACTATACATTCCGAAAATATGTCCATTGGATTAAAGCATCATGATAATCGTACCAATTGATTAAAATGCAGCAGCTCCATTCAGATTTTGCAATATCTGTACACCGAAAACAAAAACTAACAGTTGAATAAATTCAATTTTGTCAAAATTATAAACAAACCCTAAATTAAACACCCAAAAATGCATGAAAATAAAAGGAGATAATGATGATACCCTAAGGAAGAAGAGCGTGATTTAACCCTCACAAATATTGAGCAGACATATCTCCATGCCATTTCTGTTAGAGATGAAACTCTTTGATCATAACAAAGAGAATTGGAATGGGAAGAGTAAAAATGGGAGGTTTTTGGTTTTATAGCTACGCAGAGGAGATCTGCGGTCATCGTAACTCAATACGATTGAATCGGAGAAGCCGTTACTCCGACCATTTTGTGGTCACTCGAAAATACAATTTTCATTTTACTTTAACTATAAGCTTTTTATTTGTTTCTTAATCACATGTTGTTATAATTTTCTTTTTCAATTATATGGTAGTCAAAATGTCATGTAAATGGAAAATTATTAGGAATATTAGAGTAGTAATAATTAACTAATTACCCAAATATATCCACGTACTATGATATAATTACTTTTATAATGATATATTTAAAATCAAATACTTAACTCATTTTTTGTAGATACAAGAGAAATCCTATGGAAATAAAATTTATATAGTACAAATAGTGATAACAACAATATATTCAATGTAATTTCATAAGTGTGAGGAGAGTGACATGTACACAGAGACTCTAAATTGTTTTTAATAGACCCATCATTCACTCAAGTAAAATATCTCAAAGCAATTAAGAGAAGGGGATACATCATATACTAATGAAGAAATTGTGACGGAAATTCTAGAGAAAAGAACTGAAGCATAGCAAATAATATGATAATTGAAATAAATGAAATAACATGTAATGATAAAATCAAAAAATAAGATAATAGAAGAATAAAAATAAAAATATTGATAAGTAAAATTATACAATACTCGACTATATATCTACTAACTGCTCCTAAAACTCTATATCCTCATATAATTCATCTTTGCTTAGTCAAATATATATATAGAAGATGTAACTGCATTCTTTTTCTACAACTTTCCTCTTCTTCTTTTTTTACTTTTTCTTTTTTAATATAATCTATATATATAATAGGAGAGGTGAAAAGCCTCACATGTCAGCACCACAAAAAACAGACTTTTAAAATAATTAAATGTAAAATGATTAATAATAAATTACTATTATATTTTTAAAAATAATTTTTTTTTAAAAGCAAAAATTGCTGCCCGTTAATTTTTTTTAAAAAAAATAAATTCTGCTGACTTTTTAAAAAAACTCTTAAGAAAATAATAATTAAAAAATTAATTAAAATCGATTTTTGAGATAATTTTTATAAAAAAAAAAATCAAAAAGCAGCGATTTTCTCCATTAATTTATATTTTTTCATTAATGGTGCACAAATTTCTTCTTCTGGTGCACAAATCTAATGAAAAAAATAAATAAACTAATGGAGAAATCGCTGCACCAGCAGAAATTTTATTTTTTAAAAAATTTTCTTAAGAGTTTTTTTTTTAAAAAAAATTAGGGGACAAATTGCTTCCCCAACAACGATTTTTGCTATTTTTAAAAAACTATAACTCAAAAATCGCTGGTGGAGCAACGATTTTAATTTAAAAAGAAAATATTTTTTTGAAGAAAATGTTGTTGGGGCATTGATTTTCTTAAAATTTTCTTTTTGACAGAGTTAACGGGGTTAATTCTGTGCAAGGATATCGCTCCTAAGGGAGCGATTTGACATTTTAGGTTTTAAAAATATTTGATAGGCCGTTTATGTTCTTTGAAGGAAAAAAATGGCCCTTTTAACTCCGGACTCGAATTAAAAGTTCCTACAATAGAACCATGAATTTACATTTTTTTTCCATGTGTTTCTCAGTTTGGTAGGCTTCATGTTATTAACAATATATAACATATGATATTTTATAGGTTTGGTGCATCAACATGGTGCAAAAATGATGGTGTCTAAAGGAAACATTACAAATTCAATACGTTGTTATCTATATATTACATATATTTTTCTGTTTCAATGATAGGAAAAAACAATATTATTTGTCTGCTGGTAGATTGAAAATTTAAGGGTGTTTGCATCATTTTATTTATTAATTCATTGATGAATATTGTGTAAGTTATTTATGAAAGCAGTTATAGAAAATTGAGTTTGAGATATTTGTAAACGAAATAAACCTGAGTATTTTTATTTTTGTTTTAAGTTTTATGTGTTGATATTCTAAAAGTTGTATACAAAGCATTTGAATGACAACTTTTCTTTTCTTTTTGGAGATAGTGATGAGATCAAGAAGTTTGAGGAGGAAAAGGTGTTGTCATTAGTTATTAATTTTTGCTTGATCTTGATTTTATGTGTTTTCAGTTGTTGATCAGTCCTGCAGTGCACTCATTTTCCTCTATAAGAGGTGAATTATAATGATGTATTACAATATGAGTCAAAGTTAATTTAATTTTGTTTGAGCACACAACTCAATGCAACATATTAGGGGGATTTATTTATATTTAGATAAATTAAAGTCCAAAAAGTCATGATAATGGTTATTCATATTTTGACAATTGATTATGAATTGATATAATTTTTTTCCTATTAAAATCATCTTCATAACTCATATCTTTTGTAATGACCCCTTTCGATCGTTATGGGTATCCCCATGGTGAATGATTTGGGTCAGGAAACCTTTTGGATAGTGGCAAATTTTAAGTTAGACCAGTCTCAGACCAAATATGAATGAGGTGCGGTCTAGGGAAATCAGGGGAAGTATTGGGGTTAATGCCTAAGTGTGGACTGAGTTTTTCATCAGCCAAGAAATTAAGGAGTCTATAGGGCTTTACGAAAGTAAATTCACGTGAGGAAAACTCCGGATATCGAACTTGGCATGAAAGAGTCATTTTAGAACGTTAAGGCTTCAAGGGTGTGCTGTGAAATAGGGACTTTGGGGAAGAATTATGAGTCTTGGTCTCCGTGCAAGTTGTTATAGCAGATTGGTAGTCGCTATAGCGGGTCTGCCGTGATTTAATGTAGAAAGAGTCCCAAAACTGCTCTTTATTCTGCAACTTCGTTCTTGTGAAAAGAAAGGGCAATTTAGGGCTATTTTTTTCAGTTTTCTACCAATCTCTTCGATAAGGGTAAGTTAATTACTCCCCTAAGTAATTCAATTCTTAAGCCTTAGAATGTAGGGTGAAACTCTTAGGGGAGAGTTTTGACTTGAATTTATGGTGGAAAAGCAATGATTTGTGTAGAATGATCATGAAATTGACCTAGGGTGATGATTTGAGTATAATCTGGATATTCTTAAGCCATTATTCATTGATTGTTGTGCTTTATAATTATTTTAGACCAAGAACAAGTTAAGGCATTACAAAAGGGGAAAATTCAAGTTCTTTAGAGTTTCAAGGTTTGATTTGAAGTAGGTGATTGTTAATTATTTTTCAAGTTATGTAATGTGTGCATGTTAACTGTTTTATAGTATTACTCATGCAATATATGTGGGAAAACGTAAAGGAGGAAGGTGAAATGATATCATGTTGATAAGTCTCACGCAATGAACCTATTTAAATTACTTGTGGATTCAAGTGTGGTTGTTCATTGTTGTAACACCCCAAAAATTTCTAAGTTAAGACTCGAATCATTCTTTATTTACTTGTAGGGTCATATCGGGTGATTCTTAAATAGCCCATATGTTTAAAGATAAATTCTTTAGTGTGGAAATGATTTTGGATATAAATTAAGGCCACTAAAAACTCTTAGCACAAAGTAGAGTTGAAAGTTTTCTTATCGATTAAGTTTTGATGTAAGATTCTACTTGGGTCAACTTCAAACGACCATATCTCTTAGAATATAAGAAGTTACGTGTCTCATAACTTATTAAATTAAAGGTATTTGAATCTTCTTTCCAATGCCACCAATTTCGCGTCAATCCAATTTCTGAATAAAAAATTATGACCATTTTAGTAACCCAGTGACGAATTAGCTGACGGGAAAATATTAAAAAGGGTCTTTTTGCCTTTTTACCTCTAAGAAAACCCTAAATGAATTTCTTAACTAATTAAAGACCAAAATCAATCATATTTTCATCTCTTAATCCCCCATTCTCTTCTCTCTCAAACTCTAAGACAAAACCCTAAGGGAAAAAAATCAAAGTAGAAGACTCTATTTAAGATTCTTTCAATCTTTTTCAAGATTCTTCTTCAAGGTAAGTCTTTCTCCAAGAATTCTATTCTTTCCAACTCAATTTCTTCATACAATTATGAATCATTAATGAGAATCCAAAATTCTTGGCCATAGAGTTTCAAGAAACTAATTCAAGAAATCTCAAGAAAGGTTTTCTTGATTTTTCTCCTTCAAGCTAGGATTTCAAGGCTTCTAATCAAGTTCTTCTTCAAGATTCTTCAAGAACCTTATTTTTCCAGGTATGTAAGGCTATCATAGTGTTGGAATAGTTCGTCCTCATGCCCTACATCTACTTTCAGATCACTAAAAAAGAACTCTAGGATTCTATCCCTAGATTTGAGTATTCTTGAGATAAGTTGATTTTGAGTTCTTGAGTTCCTGTTTCTTTTTGAAATTCTATTCATAAATATTGAATTGTTATATGTTATGCATTAATATTCTTGAGTTGATTCATTCATGTTTATATTTCAGCATGAACCCTATGAATTGAATATTTTTGAGAGGAGAAATATCGTTGAGTTATGAGTTTCGAGTTCTTGAGTCCTTGAGTTCTGAAGACCAAGTTTCCTTATTGCTATTAAGATCTCTGAGTTGATTCGTTCATGTCCATAATTCTACATAAACCCTATGATTTGAGTTATAAATTTTGAAAAGCTTTTTAAAGCCAACACTTGAGTTCTTAAACTGAGTTTTGAGAAAGTAAATATGAGTTTTGAGAAAAGAGTTTCTAAAACATGATTAATATGACAATCGAGTATGCCATTAATGTTTAAGCAATATGGTATCTAGATATACCATCAATGTTTATGTAGTATGACATCCTGAGTCATCAATGATCATATTATAATATGATTTTGAAATGTTTTTGAAAAAGAGTTTTCAAGTATGAGTATAAGGGGACATTGTATTCCTAGAGGCATAAATTTTTACATTGATAAAGAGATACTGAGATTTCTAAATGAGTTATGAGTTCAAAAGTTATTTCAAGAGTAGTTACCTCTTTTAAGAGGGTAGTTCGAGCAATTATCTCAAACTAGAGGAAGAGTAATATTTTTTTAAACATATAAGCATGAGTATATATTATTGGGAGTAATATTGAGCACCGATATGGAGGAGAGTTCAAACAACTCACAGCCCCATAAATCATGTATGCCAACATGGGTAAAAGATCATAATTTT